TGATTTTGATGCTGTTCCAGAGCAATATCTCTCAATTTGGACAAGTACTTGTTTGACGATCAGATACAAATGTCAATCATTTTAATGTTAAAAAAATCATATTCCTGACATGGTTATATTCCAGCTATATTACTATAAACATAACTATATATCTTAAATTTGATAACTAACGGGGACTGTGCCATGCATGGCTTGTCACTGAATGGTTTGAATACCTGAAAATGTTAAAGTAGAGTCGTCGTTTTTGCTTTTTCAATGTGCGTCATTATCATCATTATGTGAGACTCGATCCTTGTGGAAAAGTGAATTGGTATGGCTGAAATCTGCTGGACGCTTGAAATGTTTGTAATTCTTCATTTGAGATATTAAAGCACAATGCTTATTAATCAATTGTTTTGTTTGTACAGAATATCGATTAGATCCACGAAATCGAAGTGCCACTACCGGGGAAATCAATGCCAAGAAACCTCTGTCTAGATCACGCAGTGCACAGTCATTGAAACACCTGGGTGAACTAAACATCATTGATGATAGACTTGGTGTGTTAGCTCAGATATTCTGGATTGCAGTATCCATGTTAGAATCAGACTATGAGTACGAGTTTCTGTTAGCAATAAGACTACTGGAAAAGGTATGTTGACTTCATTATACATGTACATGCAGTTTGCCTATGCCCTGTGTTCCTTATTACGCACCTTCCATTTTACACAAGTTACATGTAATGCATGGTTTAGAATAAGAATTAGTATTATACATCTGTCACCGTAATGCCATAGGCTATAGCGTGCCGTAATTTTGCGGTATTTTACAGGGTATTTTTATCCTACCATATTAAGAAATGCGAATTCCAAATATGGAATGATTATGCGCGTAAGCGTCCTCTAATAATGAAAACAAACATGGCTGCCACAGGGTTTGACCTAGACTCCACCCTAAAGAAGTTCGCTGATTCCTGTTCCAAACTTTTTGGATTTTGGCATTTCCATGATGTATCCTTGGAAGGAAAAGATGTATAATAATAGCCTCATAGTCTGATCAATTTGTATTTAGACCCGATACTAAATGCAATAGAAGGGCACTTGTTTTTCCGTTCATAAGTGAAGAAATGCAATTAAAGAATCTTTGACGAGACAACCTTTGGCTTTGGAGCAAATACTAAGAAATATTACCACAAAAAAACTTGCAATTAGTGGCAGGTTATGCATGATATTTTGAATGTTACTAAACCATATGTGTAGTATTCTGGAATTGATGTGCTTTCTTTCTCTTCAGCTTTTCAGTCATATGAATTTTGGGAGAACTGAATATCGAGAAAAGATTGACAAAGTATTTGCTGATTTGAAATGGGATGAGTTTCCAGGACTTCAAGCTCTTCTGCTTAAAGTATGTATTCTTCAGTCAATAATGTCAGTCAGTTTTTTACCACAGTCAGCACTATGCTGCTACAATATTGAATGCCTTTGTAAGGCTTAGGCAGGAGATTTTGAATTTGACTTTGTTTTCCAGTGAAATCTTAAAGTCTACTCTAAAATGCTTTATTTTTGATGAAAAGACTTTTTAGGTGTTTTGTATGGAATTTATTTTCACTGATATTTGACGAGTTGAATGTAAAGTATAGGAAAAAAAGGAATATTCGCTGGATTTTATTTTCACTGAATCATTCCTTCAGCGAAAATAGCAAAAGCAAATGAATCTTTTGGCTCTCCTACTCAATAAAATCCTAGTGACAATTTGTAAATTGTCATTTTCTAAAATTGCCAATTTGTCTGATTTTAGGACTATCAATATTTTAGGATTATATCTATAGACATCATTACATGTATTGAAGAATACAAGTTTTCAAATGTTTATTAAATTTAAGTTATGGTCTTTTCACATGATTTAAATTTTAACCATTTAACACATGACCATCTAATGCTATTTGCTCCCCATTCATTTTGGCCATCCATGAAGACTCCCAGAAAATGTTTTAACCAAAAATTTCTGAAAAATATTAATTTGGCAATTTTAGAAAATGACATAAATTTATATTCTATAATTCCATTCGTTTTTTTTTTTCATAATAGGGTTTCACATCACCTGCTACTAGTGATGCTACTCTGCAATTGGTAGGCAAGTTGACATTATTTACATCTTTACATGTGGTGGATCCTACTGGTATGGCTGGATTTCCCATGAACATTATAGCCTTGCTACCAAACTTAGCTGAACACTTTGAAATGCCGGATGATTTCTGTAAAGAATGTGCTGAGAGCATTGCGCAGGTAAACCTAAATTCATTTGATTCTTATTGTTTGTTATGCTCTGTATAATAGGACAGTCTTATTTATCCGTGAATGTATAATCATTGCTCATTTAGCCCCCACCATCTCAATGTCTATAATAATTGTCTCATTTAAGATAATTAGTAAATACCTAGATAAGTTTAAATGACAAATGTAATGTATTCTTACAAATTAAGCTAGACCACCTAAATTTGAAATTGCTGGTAACAACAATAACATCAATAACTTGTTGATCTGTAAAATTAATCTTATATCATTTTTCTGTTTGCTGTCTTCCTAGGTGTGTGCTGTGAAATATCCTAAACTTGATTCACTGGCGACAGTAATGGATATGTACAGTAAGAGAACATATTCCAAAGACAGGGAATCATGGACCTATGCCGTGTGTAAATATGTACATGATGCATTCCAACAACTCAGTATAGCTATGCTCACATTTCTAGTTGAGGTAAGACAAACTATTGTATGGTTTTCAGAGCAAAGCATCAGGAATAGGCATGACACAGCTGTAAAAAATGTTTACATTATTGTCTGTACAGCTAGTGTTGCTCTTCTTGACAGATTGTAACAATTTGTGCAGGATATTCATCTACAAAAATTGTGTACCTACATTTAGTGATGTAACAACCAGGATTCTACAAAATAATGCCAACCTTGACTCACCTAAAATGTTGCTTCAGTTCAATGAAATTTGACCACTTCTCCAGGCAGGAGACTCCAAGTCAAATCATATTGTAAAAGTAGTTTATAAATAAATAAACGCTGCTCGGACTGATAAGTATGATATATTGAAGCACTTGCTTCTATGCTATCGATAAAGAGCCATTGCTCGAAACGTCTAGCTATTTTTAATAGTTATTTAGGACTACGATTACCAAATATTATCTTCAATATATCATATTGTAAAAGTTTTTTGAGTGTTGTGACTTTCTTTCTGTAAGACACTGCATTTCAGCTTCCTGACAATATATGTTGTCTGTTCACAGGTACTTGAAAAAGGTCCACTGAACCATCAACAAGCAGTACTACAAATAATTAAAGACATTGTATCCAATGTAGACTTAATGGCAGCACCTATGCAACAAGTTAACGGCGATCTACTTAGAGTTATTACCAAATATGTCCAGGTAAGAATCAGAAAATGACCGCAGATTGTATATCTAGCTGGATGGTCCTCACATTACATTTAGTTAAAGTTATACTGGCGATCAGTGTGCTTGTTGACTGCAGGGAAGAGAGGTTTTCAGGAAAAAAAATTATTATTGTATGTGGCTGTTGGAGACATCTGAAGGCACAAAAAAAAATGTTGTGGCCCCTGAATTCTTTTTGTTGTTACACTTATTTTGTTTATAAAATGTGATTTATTTCCACATCATTGTAAATTTCTCAGCCATACTATGATGTTTTTTACGGTTACTTTTTTAATGTATGATTTTCTCTTGAGTACATAGCGCACCAGTGATAGCTGCTTCACAAAAGTCTGTGTGTTATTGATACATCAATGGCTTAGGCGGCCACTGTGGGCAAGACTATAAGTATAAGGTGTTCTCAAATGAAATTGTTCATCAGTAGCATAGTGGTTGTTGCATCAAACCCATTATTGGTAGACCTTAAACTCAAAATCCTATCTGTGGTTGAAAACCAAATGGGGTCAAAGCCACTGACAGAAAACCTTTGTTAAAACGCTTGTGCCATTATGATAGAAACATGGTCACACAACCCTGTCATGTCGTCTCAAACATGGCATATGGTTTCTGGGTCAAAATGAACTTACCTGTATATGCTCTATTGGAAGCTGATCTCAAATAGAAATACATATGAACCAAAAATCCAATTTGTTGTGTACTGAATCATGAAAATATAACTTATTTTGACTATAGAAATAGTCTTGTAATTTACGTAAGCGTATGTGCTACTAATAGAGCGAATATAGTATTATATTATTGTTGTAATTTACACACACATAAATACAACAGTAATATTTAATGTCTTAACAATTGTTGTTTGACACTTAAATCTTGTTAGTCTATGTATAATAAAAATACTAGCCAGTGATGGAACGGAGCGGAGTGGAGTCAAAGACAATGGCCTTGGCACCAATATTTGTATTTTAATATTTGCCTTATTAGGGTAATCATTGGCAGAAAGCACTGGAAATTCTGCAGTTAGCAGTGAAAGGCTCATCCAAAATAGTAACTCCGCCAACCAGTAATGAACAGGAGATCATTACAGGTGGTTTTCTCTTTGGTGATGTTGAGATGACCCGAAAGAAAGAACTACCAGGAAGGACTCTAGAGTTTACATTTGATCTCTCCAGGGTAGGTTGTTACTGTATTTTCTTATTATAGTTAGTGTTTGTTATGCACAATTTACTGAAGAATGAAACACCATAGAATAAAGCAATTAAATGAGCTAACAACTGCTACCAATTTATTATTTGGTTTTATTTATTTATTTTTGATATTTTTATCATATTTATTTTTCATATTTATGTTTATTAATTGATTTATTTTATTTATATTGACTAACAATTCTATTCACTGGACCCGTATTCTATATCAAAGGCTGCAATTGAAGAGTTGAAGAGAGTGAGTGAAACAATGCATCATCACGAAACTCTGTTTGCTTTAGAAATCAAATTTGTCACATAGAAATGTATTACTCGATAAATTGTTATAATATGTGATGTATTTGGTAAAGAGCAGAGCTCAGAATTTAAAAACGTGTATTTGGTTTATTTAAAATTCCTGCTCAACCTCGTGCACAGTAAAACTTGCTGGTTTTGATTGTACCCAAATTTATGAACTTTTATTTTTATGTGGCAAATAAATAGTAATATAAATTTCATTTGGGATCAAGGAAGGAATCTTTTTGTGTGAAAGTAAAGTAGTAGTTTCTTTTATTTTACATACATATTATAACAAGTCACAGTGTAAGTTTGCTGTGCTTGGTATTCAATCATAACGAACATTTTTTTCACTTTCCTGTGCCTCCATTGGTGATACACTTCAAATAAAACAATTCTAGTACTTGTACCCGCATCTACTTTATATGCTACTAATCATTCACTCATTCTTTGAAGGTGAATAATTTTGTTGTGAATACTGCTTTCCTACATTATTGTCCTGTGTATGTGCAATGACAGACATGACCAGCAACAGGGAACTAGCTTGGTAAAAACAAGTGAAAAAATAAGATCTGGCTGAGCTTTGATGTGCTAGCCGAGTGCCCTCAACTCACTCAAAGAAATCTTGTCAAACTTAATTAAAGCATAATGACTACAGATATAATCTGTGCACTGGTCAGCACAGCAGCCATAATTTCTCAGACACAATGCGCACAATGGCAAATATTCGCTAATACGAATGTATTTAAGAATTTGAAGTAATACATATATACAAGTCCAAGTTTTCCTGTTGTGTATGTGGAAAGAAGCACCATAGCTCAACTATGATGTGGAATGTTCTAATCACAACAAATTATTATAGATATATGAAATTTTCAGAAACTGTCATTCATATTCATCTATAACCTGATAATGTATACTGTCTTTATTCCTAATCTATTGTTATGATTTGTTTGTTTTCAGTAGATTTTAGAAAGATTTGTTCTTTTTTGCTGTGCCTTCAGTAATTATGCTATAGATTCATCGCTGATGTTGTAATTAATTGTTTGTTTACAGACACCCCTCATGACACACAAGTTTCCGTCCATGATGACTATGTCCACTACCCTTAGTGATGAATCAGCGACCAGTAGCAGTGATACAGAAAGCTTGGTTACCATAACAACAGATTCCTGCATTCCTCCCTCTGTTGTATCAATGCCATCACAAGCGGCTGCTGATATGAGTTGTGCAGTTAATCAAAATGTAGTGTCATCGTGTTGGAGGAAGCCTCAGCTGTCGCAGAGAAGGACTCGTGAACATCTTGTGAGTGTATTGAATGGGCTAGGACAGAATATTGGATTGCCGAGAAGCCCATCAGTAAGTATCTGTAGTGTGTGTGTGCATTTGGTCACACCTTGATCTCAGACATTCTGAGACCCATCACATTCAAACATCGCGTATAAGTCAAATATGCCACACATAGGAACATGCATTAAATTTGTAAACTGTTTCAAGATGCCCAAATGCTAAAAGTGCATCAAAATCAATCATTTCTACATTCCTGAAGCATGATCTCAGGTGCGCATGAAAAGATTTCATTTAAACTTGGTATATACATCAAGGGATCTTGATACACTTCATTTTGTTTCACAAATTAAATTTTTATGACAGTTTTAAAATGAAAATTGATTTTAGAAATCAAAATGAAATTTCTATGTTTGTTTTTTTCAGTTACTTATTTATGGGCAATTTTAATATTCTCATCCTCTGTGCATTTTACAGGTTATCTTCAGCTCTACCAGCGATATAGCAGCTGAACGCCAAGCCAGTGTGTGTTCATCCAGTGAAACAACATCTTTAGTTGATGGTCTATCCGGTGATACTAAACTAGATGAAAGTGGAGGAAATGACCACTTTGGTGTTCTCAAAGATTTTGATTTCCTGGATACAGAACTGGAAGAGAAGGTAACACTCATTATTTGTAGCTGTTTGCCCTGCATGTAATAGTCATGGTGATGGTATTGCTCTGTCATTGTTCTTGTTGTCAGCGTTGCTGTACAATATATCATTACTGGTATTTTGTGAGAGAGGAATTTTGATGTACCATTTTGTCGATGTGGACGCTTTAGGCTCTTAAACACAGAGTCAGTGTGACTTTCATGTTTTCGTAAAAGTTCTCTTGAACCATCTAATCATAAAAATTCTTTGCAGCGAAAATTAACATTTTCCCATTATTTGTGAGTATGCTGTTGTTCTTGCCTTGTCAGTGATGGTATTGATGCTGTTTGGTTATGTCATTGTTTTCTTTGTAAACATTTCTTTTGTATCTCCCATAGAACGATGAAGGGTTCAACTGGGCAGTGACTCGTCAATCATTGGAGAGTCTTGATAGAGAAGGACAGAATCTGAAAGAGCTAAAGGATTTATCTGGATGTGCTCCGAGTTTGGAAGTTGGTGATTTCAAAGATGAGTCTTCAGATGATGAGGTATGTTGTTGCACCACCCAACCTCTTTAGATGACGTACTAAGAAAAAACAAGAGTTGTTAAATTACCACACTACACTGCTGTGTTTGAATATTATGTCAACTAATTCTTGGAACTGTATAGCTGTGACGTTTTAATTTTGTGAACTTAATAGGATAACAACTGCAAATGATTGATATGATTAAATAAAAACACTTTTACAAATTAATCTATTAAATAAAGATACAGGGGTGGATTATTCATTTTGTATTTGCTCTGTTAGTAGCGCACGAGTTTGTGTAATCTATGGGTAAAATAAGTCAAATGATAATGATCGGTCATACAATTGCATTTTGTGTGCTTCTAATAGAACAAGTATGGTATGTTGAGCTTGTTTGATGTTTCTATTGCTAGGTACGAAGTATGTCCCCAACGGATGAGACATTGCACGGCCCTAATGCTCAGATTCAGACGGCTGTTGGTGGTTTATATGGGTCATCTCCCAAAGATTCACATTTCTTCCCACTTGGTATGTTACCAATGGAATCACGATCTAGTCCTGCACTATCTACTTCGAGGTAAGTCAAGCTGTAAAAAAATCTAAGTAAAATGATCTATTTTGATCTGCATTAAATTTGAATACATTGGCTAAAATAGTTTACTTGATTCCGTATTTTCTAGATTTATCAAAATGTTTCAGATAAGGGTGAAGTTGCATTTGTCTTGAATTATATCACTGAGTATTAGGTATAATTCAACACCGTTCAAACAAATATTCAGTGAAAACTGTCCTAGTGGGCCATCTCTATAGACCTTTGCACTGTGACACCTTGTTTACATTTGCACCAACCAGTAAGTGAACAAATATTGCTCACTGACCAGCACTAGATCAAGATCGAGAAACAGTACCATTTCATTATTATATCTGAAAATGAGTTTGCGAACCTTAAAAAAATAATTCAACCTCCATATAAAGACCAACTGTTCTAATAAAGTCCATTTTAATGAAGTCCCTTGGGAAGATTACTAATATATACACAGGCTTTGACATATGTATGTATATGTATTTAAATCGGTTCTCTTATTTACAGTGTGTGTAGTGACACTGAAATGACAGACGCAAGTCCTACGACATCACCTCACATCACATCGATGAAATCATCTTTCCTCTACATACCAAACGATGAAATGGAAGATGTATGGGATTCTCACGTCAACAGTGTAATGAGTGATTCCAATGCCACATGTGCTGTGAACACATTCCATCTATTTGCCAAACTCTATAAGGTTACCAGGAGGAGGTTTTGTAATCTAACTAGGGAGTCCTGTAACTACCTAAGTGACAGGCTGAGAGGAATTGCCACACAGTTCCATATCCTTTTTTGGACAGACATGTTGAGTTCAAAATAGAGTTCAACCTGAATTCAAATTGTTCACAACAAAGCATGTTACTGAGTACACTCGCAGTGCATTATGGGAGAGAAATGCAATTTTTGCACTACTGACTATATGTGCATTATGGAAGAGAACTGTCCATTGAATATATTAAAATATTATTAGACTGGATACTCAGCAAGTAAATTTTTGGATTTTTGTTTTTATTATTATTCATATGGTATTTATGTACATTGTATAACTTGTTCTAGCATAATTTTTAGATATGAATAAATACTCAGCATAGAAACTATCACTAAAACAAAGGTAAAATGAAATTTGAACCATTGTCTGGTTTTTCACACACCTTATTTCGCATCTTAATTCCTGCAACTTGTAAATACTGTGGAATACTTTATTTTCGCTGGAATTAATTTTCGCTGAAAAGGCTTTTTGGGCGTTTTGTGTGGAATTTATTTTCACTGATTTTTGATGAGTTTAATG